CACAGTTTTTCAGATACTCTGGCTTGTGTGTGGCAAATCCTCAACCCTGACATCCACGTGCATCGCAGCTCGGTCTGCAAAACACCCTTGGTAACATGCAAAACACCTCCAATGCATTTTGACTATTGGAGCAAAGACCACTCATAAAATGAGAGAAACAGGCCCTAATGTCCAGTTCTGCTGCTTCATGGTCTGACCTCAGGAAAGTAAACTGGCCTAATTAGTCCTCATTATCCTCACCGACAGGAGGGACTAGAACATGGCTGTTAGGTTATCTTCTGCATGCCAACATGACAGACTGGTAGCAGTTGCTTGGAGTGGTCTGCTGAGAAAGGATAGTGGAGATGGTGCTGTGATGGTATCCCATGGGTGAGGGATCATGAGGGGCAAGATTTACCCAGTGTCTGCCAACTCCAGGTTCGCAATACCTTTAGGTCTGTCCTTGCAGAGGTATACAGAATGTGGTTAATGTTCTAGTTGGCCCTAAAGGCAAAATTAACCAGGCAGTAGTTTAGTATTTCAGTATGTTATTTGTAGGTATACATCACCAGAACCTCCAAAAGATGTGGGAATTCTGGGGTCTTAGGTGCACTTCAGAATTTTTAATGTCCTGGTTGACCCGGCCACTTAGACTGAAATATAATTGCTTCTTAGTATGTGTTTATTAACCAGGCTAGGCTATCAGATCCCCAGGTCACCTGGTATATTGCTGGATTAGAGTAGGTAGGGGACCAAAATCGGTGGCATCCCAGGAAGCAATGGATTTTCTGATGGGCGTAGTGTTATTAGAGTGTGAAGAAAATTAGGATTTCTGTAATCTTTAAGCTTAGAAAGTATTCAGATAACCCAACCAGCAATCCATGTTAGAGGTTTTCTAAATCTTAGGTTATATAAGTGTTCAAAGTCATATGAGGTGGGGAGGAGGGAGCTAACATGTTTTAAGGAGCCTATTATAAGCCAGACACTTTATGTAGTCATAACTCAATCTTTCCAACAGCCCCATGGGGGTGGTAATATAGTAATTTAATAGTATTATATAGGTGAGGAACTGGTGATTCAGAGTCATGTAATAACTTTCGCATTGTTGCATAAGGAGAGACACGGAAAGTCAGCCTTCCCAACAGTCTGGACTCTGATCACAGCACATTTCGTACGAAGACTTCTGCATGTTTGGTAACTTACCAATGCATGAGGACCCCAGTAACTTGATATTTCTGACAACCAGAAAGTGGTATTTAAAAAGACCCATTCATGATAAAGATGTTGTAAGCCAACTATCAGTATAAATCATTACTATGGGAATTTTGAAGATATTAAAATTGGAAATGGTTTTTAAGCCATTAAGAAGTACTTTTTTATGTTCAAGTAATTGAAAAGCTAGTCAAAACTTCTTTATTTATTAACATCAGGTTTCCCAAGTACTTCCGTATGTCATTTATTGCTCACCAAGTTCAAGAAATATTTAAAAGCCATGAATAAGAATTAGGCTTTCTTTAAAAAAGCTAAGGATTAAACAAGAGGCTAGTTTAGCTACCTAGACATGTAAAAATAAAGAAGAATAGACTTGGTGCTTGCAAGTGAGTTGAGGATGATAGAAAACAGACTTGCTCAATTTGCATTTCAAGTCTGTCTCTCTGTCTAGAGGAGGCTTGTGTCCTGAAGAAGATAAAACCATCAGTAACGGGGAACTGAGCCATGTAGGAAATAAGATGATAAAACTATATGGAACCAACTTAAGTGGCTGTAAGTCTCAAGACCTTGGGCAATGACCTGGAAGGGTAGTGAGACAAGAACTTTGCATGTGAGAACTCCAAACCCCTGCGTGTTACCCCTTAGCGCACAGAGGAAAACAAAAGCAAGAGCAAAAAACTGCAGTCTTCAAGATGGAGAAAAAGATTTCCCGTGTGTACTGAAGACCAGCTGGCTTGATGCTGGTTGAGGCCAAAATCTAGAGAATGTTATTAAAACGGACTCTTAATCGTCAGAACCAGAAGTGTGGATCACCCCAGGCAAGCTTTGGGTTTTCCAAGAACAGAATGAGGCCAGAATTATCTGACACTCTCTTCTAGTATATTATACTTTAGTAATTATGTCTGAATTTTAGTAGTGAGTTTCTTAAAATAGTAAATGTTTTAAAAATGGTTATTATGGGCTAGATTTTATCCAAGCACTTTATATTACCTCATTTAATTGTGTCATCCACATTTGAGGTAGATACTATTATCTTCATTTTTTAAAATAAATTCAAAGATTTACTTTTTTCTGTTTTTTACCTTTAAAAAAATTTATTTCTTATGCTTTACTGAGGTACATGGGCAGATTGTGCAAGTTTGTTACATAGGTATACACATGCCATGGTAGTGGTTTGCTGCATCCATCACCCCATCATCTACATTAAGTATTTCTCCTAATGTTATCCCTCCCAATCCCCCCACCCACTGCTATTCCTCCCCTGTTGGTGGGAATATAAATTAATTCAACCTTTGTGGAAGACAGTATGGCAATTCCTCAAGGATCTAGAAATAGAAATACCATTTGACCCAGCAATCCCATTACTGGGTGTATACCCAAAGGATTATAAATCATTCTATTATGAAGACACATGTATTATCTTCATTACATAGATGAGGAAGCCAAGGCCCTGAGATTAACACATCATATTTAGGGCCCATGTGTCATGTCCTGAGGTAATTCAGTATGAAGGGCCCATATGTCAGGTCCTGTGGTCAATTCTCTAAATGATAAGTAATGGTCTTGTGACTTTGCGTCAGTCATTATATCCTGCTCCAGATGGTAAATATGCTCATTAGTTGGGTGACTTTTCGAAGCTGGGAAAATGTTATAGAAATGAGACCATCCTGGTCAACATGGTGAAACCCCGTCTCTACTAAAAATACAAAAAATTAGCTGGGCATGGTGGTGCGTGCCTGTAATCCCAGCTACTCAGGAGGCTGAGGCAGGAGAATTGCCTGAACCCAGGAGGCGGAGGTTGCAGTGAGCCGAGATCGCGCCATTGCACTCCAGCCTGGGTAACATGAGTGAAACTCCGTCTCAAAAAAAAAAAAAAAAAAAAAAAAATAGAGACAATGAGATAAATCAAATTTATAGTGTTAATACTTTGGTGTGGTTTAGAGATATGTTTTATAATCATTTGGATATTTTAAGGTGTTAAGGAATTCAGAATATTGGATAATCTGATTGCAATCTGAAATGCATAATTTACATTAGACTAATACTAATTTTAAAGATGTCACAGACTTTAGGTTTTTAAATGGTATTGAAATGTTTATTATACATTTTGTTTTACTTACTACATTAATTGCTTAGAAATTGCTTAAGTGCTTAGAAAATTTTGTTTTCTAGGTTTGTAGGTTATGCTTTCTTTTAAAAAGCTAAGGACTATATAAGATGTTGTTTGAGCTACCCAGACAAAGTAAAAATGAAAAAGAGTGGACTTGGTGCTTGCAAGTGAGTTGAGGATGATAGAAAACAATTACACCTACTCAATTTGCATTTCAAGTCTGTCTCTTTGTCTAGAGAAGGGTTTGTGTCCTGAACAAGATAAAACCAACTTTTGGAGTGTTTGAGAAAATCAGATATGTCAAATGTGTAAAATTTAAAATGTGCCTGAGGGAATTTAATTAACTGAATTTATAAATTGGATTATTTAAAATTTAATCTTTTAAACTGAGCTAACTGAAGTAATCAAAGAAAAAGAGACCATGAATTCTTATTTTTTAAGATGGATTCTTACTCTGTTGCCCAGGCTGGAGTGCAGTGGAGTGATCTCAGCTCGCTGCAATTACCTCCAGGGTTCAAGCGATTCTCCTGCCTCAGCCTCCTGAGTAGCTGGGATTAGAGGTACCTGCCACCACACCTGGCTAGTTTTTGAATTTTGAATAGAGACGGGTTTCACTATGTTGTCCAGGCTGGTCTCCAACTCCTGACCTCAAGTAATACAGCTCCCTAAGTGCTAGGATTGCGGGCGTAAGCCACTGCACCTGGCCTGAATTCTTGTTTTTATATAAAATACTAGATTTATAACAAGACTTTTAGGTTGAATTTAAAGGCTTAGGCAACACTAGTCTTTTGAATGTACACTTTGAATATATTTAATTGATTAAAATTCCATTTCTTTGGAGTGGTCCCTTGAGTGCACAATATTCCCACAGATATTCAAAAGCTCAAATGATAATAGTAAGCACACAGTAAGTGGTAGTTACACATGGTCCTTCACTGTTGATGGTTCATTTAACTATTTTTGACTTTACGATGGTTCAAAAGCAATGCACATTCAGTAGAATGTCAATAAATTACAAAAAATCTTCAACACTTGAGTATAAAATAGGCTTTGTGTTAGATGATTTTGCCCAACTGTAGGCTAATGCAGGCATTCTGAGTACCTTTAATGTAGATTAGGCTAAAGTGTGATGTTCAGCAGGTTAGGTGTATTAAATGCATTTTTGACTGAACAATATATGTATTTTGTTGTTCTTTTTTTGATTTTTTTTTTTTTGCGGAGTCTCGCCCTGTCGCCAGGCTGGACTACAGTGTTGTGATCTCAGCTCACTGCAGCCTCTGCCTCCTGGGCTCAAGCAATTCTCCTGCCTCAGCCTTCTGAGTAGCTGGGACTAAAGGCGTGTGCCATCATGCCCAGCTAATTTTTGCACATTTAGTAGAGACGAGGTTTCACCATGTTGGCCAGGATGGTCTTGATCTCTTGACCTCGTGATCCACCTGCCTTGGCCTCCCAAAGTGCTGGGCTTACAGGCATGAGCCACTGCACCCAGCCAACTTCACAATATTTTAACATATGATAAGCTCATCAGGACATACCTTATCATAAATTGAGGAGCATCTATATAATTAACAGTGATTCTTGCCTTCCCTGTTGTCCTCTAGAATCCCTGCAATAAAACTTCCATGATAGTGTATGTATTCTTGTGACCCTGAGGGTCCTGATTAGTCACAGGTAAGAATTACTCCAAACAACAAAACAGTACTTCTTTGAGTCAATAATTTTATTACTATTATTTTTCACACTGAGGAGACTTAGTTACATAAAGTGATATTCTATGAACTGATGATCAGTAGTAGAAGCACAAAGGTATGGACAGTGAAACAAGAAGAAACGCTGTTTATCAGAATGAAGTCCAGTGACAGAAGTACATACTCCAAACAGTCTATGTACAAATAGAGCTTCCTGCCTATGTACAGACATATTCACAGAGAATAAACTGACATAGTATCGCCATGTATCCCATCATCCAGTGAAAATTGCTCATAATAAACACAACACACACAAAATGACAGAAGTAATTTGGAAGTGCATCCATTGGAGTTTTGTAGGGGTGAGGATAGGGGTTACAATGCTCCTTTAAAATGGAGGGGAACAAAGGAAGCATGAGACCACATCCATCCTAAAAAAGAGCCTTTACAAAAATGGCATTCTGATATTTTTAACACAAACTGTCTAAAAGACAGTTTATATATTATAGAGCAAATGTCTATGTTGGAGTCAACATTGACAACATGATCTCTGTTTTAACCATGTCTGAAGAACAAAAGTATAATTTCTCTTTCCTTTAGTGCTAGCAGCAACTTCACTGAATCAGGAAGGTAATTTTGCTATTCGTAATTTGATGGCTTTTTGAGTTTGTGGATTGCTTGAAGGTGGAAGCTGTTGCTTCCGGAGGTTTTTGACTTGAGAAATATCAAGGCTAGATGCAGGGCTTATATATGAACTTTGTATGTAGGGCTCAATAGGGCAATTCAGTAACAGAGACTCCCTCTTCTGAATAGAGTCTCAGCCCTTTAGAGAAACTCTTTTAGATCACAAAACATCCTCCAACAGAGGAGTATCACTGGCCCTTGGTTCAGATACCCTTTCTTTAGGGCAAATTGGCCATTTAAGCATAAAATTGATGGGGCTGTCCAATTTAGTATGTTTACTCTATGTAGATAATTTAGGTACCCAGTTCCGGTGGATATTTCTAGACTATTCAGTTCTTTTTAGTCATTATTTTACTTTCACTCAAGTGATATAAAAGGGCTGGGTATGGTGGCTCATGCCTTTAATCTCAGCACTTTGGGAGGCCAAAGCAGGAGGATCTCAGGAGCCCAGGAGTTTGAGACAAGCCTGGGTAACAGAGGGATACTCTGTCTCTTAACAACAACAACAAAATTAGGCATGGTGGAATGTGCCTGAGGTCCCAGCTACTTAGGAGGCTGAGGTGGGAGGATCGCTTGAGTCCAGGTCTTTGAGGCAGTACTGAGCTATGATTGCACCACTGCACTCTAGCCTGGGTGACAGAGCAAGACCCTGTCTGTTAAAGAAAACTATATAAACATTTGCGATGAAGTGAAACATTAAAGTTTTAGTTGTAGGGACAACTTTATATATGTGTTTGTAAACAGTTTACCATGCTAGGTTAGAAATTGTGTATTTTAGCAGAGAGGGGGGAAAAAACACCAATGCATTATGAAGTATGCTGTTTTACATGTCCTCCCAAGGAAGGTTAATAATTTTGGCATAAGAAATTATGTATCTCTATCTGCCATTTTTATAAGGAAACTTATTAGACCTATCCTGTATTTCTATTAAAGCTCAAACACACCCTACATTTCCCAGGTATATGTTTGCTAATTATCTGTTTCACTCTCTGTATGGGTGAACCTTGCTTTACATAACAAAATGGATTCCTGAAAAACAATCTACAATTTTAAAATAATTTCCATGTAGTATTAGAACTTGCTATTTAAAGAAACTGTAGAAGCTATTTTGAGAATGAAGAATGCTTTTGTGAAATGAATAATTTCTTTGATTTTTCAAAGTTTTATTAAACCACACATCTAAAATTTATAAGTAGATTAGAATTGTCTAGAACAATAATTATAGGTAATAAAAAATAGAACAGATCAACACCAATTTACAACAAACAATACAAAACAGGAATGACTCATGGACTGCTTATTGACTGACTATATTCAGAAGCCCTGAATATATGTATTATTGGTATTTTATGGCTTTAATTAAGACAATTGTCTCTTATGAAGTACTATAAAGTGCAATATTAAAAAATTAAAAAACCCAAAAGGCATCCATTGTCCTTCAGTTTTATTCTGATGAGAAGAATTGGAGATTTGTTTAATTAAATGGCAAGAAGTTATCTATCCTTAATTCATGCATGTAATTTCATTTTTAAGATAATTTTATTCAGGGTTTCAGACGTTTTTCACTTTTCTATTTTCCATGACATGATTTAAAAAGTAAGTATTTTCTTTTGGTTAGCTGAGTATTTTAGAGAACTGTTAGTCTCCAAGGCCTTAGTTACTTACGGATCCATTATGAAGGAATATGCAGAATATGTAAGAATGCAGAAACAAATTCCCATCCTTTTGGTGAACCCTAGCCAATGAGAAAAGTCCTATCCAACCTACCACACAAAAGGATGTGAATATACTGCAGTACTAGTCAATAAGTGGAGAGCCAACTATTTCCCCCAATTCCATATTCAAAATAAAAATATTGATTCCTCTTGGTAAATTAGTAAGTGCAGGCCCAGAGTTTTGGAGTAATCTAAAGTGGTGTCTCCTCGATTCTGAGTCCTTTGTGAGTCTGAGATTATGACTTAATGACCTTAAAAACAGTGTGTGATCTTGACTTCACCAGGGCTTCATGGTCATGCCGCATCCAGTATAGTTCAACACTGTTCAGACCTTATCCTTGTGTCCTGATTAGTCATTAGATTTCATCATTTAAGACCAATATAAAGAATTTAAAAAGGCTTAGTAGAGAGGAACTAGGAAAATTAAGAGGATTAAAAGACTCAAAGAAAAATCTAAAGATAGTTTTAATGACAATAGGTAAAGAGTCACATAGTGGTGACTTCTAACTATGTCTGGGGTGAAGAGTGCCCAGATGCAGTTATTTTTTGCCAAAAAAAAAAAAAAAATAGGTTAAGTCATTAAGTGGAGGGGCTTGGGTTAACCTGGAGGGAGACTGTTTCTGATGCTGATGGTTGTTAAACATTGAGCTGGGTCACACCAGCATCTATGCTGGACTCTGCCCTGTAAGAGGACTATCCTTTGGATTAGGGTTATAGGCTAGACAAACCCTCTTAATGGAATGAAATCTTTGGTGGGAGCCTACGCAAACTCCATGGCATTCTTTCAGACTTAGATGTTTGTCTGTTTTTACAAATTCAGTTAGGTTTTCCAGTCTTTCAATGAATCATCTAGTAGAAGTGCTCTGGCTGAGATAATAGGGTGATCTATAAAGTCCCTCACTATTCGTGTGCAAATTTAAAAACAGTTGTCTATCCAGTCCTAATTGCAGGGTCATTTTTGCCTCTCAAATGCTGCCTGACTTGTAGATGTACTTGTCCTTTGTAGCGATTTCTCACTGTTAAGAAATCTGTCCCTAAGCATATTAAGGACCTCTGTGGAGTTTGGGTAGTTCTGAGCAAGGCTGGCACCCCACATGACAGGAAGGCATGTAAAATGCCAGCGCGTACATGAGTTGGGGGAGTCAGCGTGGAAAACAGATTCCTTCCAGAGCAAACATGAGTGTGCCTATGATTTCTACAGACTCCTACCTGCTCCTGGTGATTACATGCCACAGCCTGTGCGGGTCCAAAGCTCCTGGTGAATTGAAAGGAGTATTGCCATGGTGGAATAATAAGTAATAGGGTTGAGCTGGTTCTGAGTAGTTCCCTTATTGCTTTTCTTGTTTGCTATATATTTCAAAATGTATGAAGCTGTGAGATTAAAAATGAAACACAAAGATAGAGGCAGAATCAGAGACCTAACTGTAAATAGATGGTGGAACAGGGCAGGGTTTTCTTTCTTTCCCAAGGTCTTCTTGAGAAGGTTTATTTTTTATTTTTTTTAAATCTAAAACTATATGGGCTCTTGTAATTGGCTAAACATAGCCTGATATTTGTAACCATTTTAAACTACATAGGGATATATTTCAATGTGACGCTTGTTTTCTTGGGAATCCTAGGAAATTAATACCTCCTTTCTTCCCTTTCCTTATTCTTCTATTTTTTTCTCCTAACCCTCTCTTAATGATGAGGCCTTACCTAGTAATTGAAGACAATATTGTTGAGAGAGGTATAGGGGTTGAGGATGCATCTTTTAAAAATGTTAAGCTGGATGGTCAAGGAAGATCTGGCTTAGCAAGAGTGAGCATTGACTTCTATGCCCTCAGGAGACAGTTGTTTTCTCCAGAAATCATCCTGAGAACAGCTTCACTTCGTTTCTTCTTCTGGAACAGAGCTGCCACCTACTTACTGGAAAAACAATCTGTCCAGGTGCAAAGAAGCATGGCATCCACATAATCTTGCGTGTGGGGGGTTTGGGTGTGTGTTTGGTAGATGTGGGGAGGAAAGCACACTGTCATGTTCTGAAATGCTTGCCATCAGACCCCTGTTACATGGTCCAATGCAGTAATTTCTGCAGAGCATTTAACACAAGTTCCATCTTCAACTCTATCTGGCCAGCTGCTCTACCAGGTGTCATTTCTTTGGTCAGCTTTTTGTTAGAGTGGTCTGGGGGTGGGCTCCCTTTGCAGTTCCTCTCTCCTCTCACTGGTCCAGAGGCCTTTAAAAGCTATGTGCAGTGGTGGGGAGTTGGCCGACTCTCTCCCTGCCCAGGAATGGATGTACGTTAATGTTGTCAAATGTCTAATCAGCGAGGCAGTTGTGTTTTGCTGAAAGGGCTCCAAACCACCTGATTCATGTCTTCCCTATAAAATACATTATAATGGCCCTTGTCAGGTGACACCTGTTAGAAGCCTTACAAAGCATTTTCCCTGAATATGAAACAGTCTCCGCCTCTTTTTATAATCTCCTGGGCAAGGCTTTGGGACATTCTGCTGCATCTGCCAAGTATATTAAACAACTCCATCCCTTAGTCCAAGCATACAGCACTGCTCTGTCACTGCTTGACTCGGTTTAGGTCCTGGGAAGTCGCATGAACACCATCTAATCTTCAGTTTCAGTTCATCAGGATCTGGTCAGGTTCAGAGGGCAGCTGGAGATAGCATGGGTATTCTCAGATGCAATTTACGAGTTTCTATTTGGGAACTGTCAGTTTGAGCCAAGCTGCTCTGCGGCCTTGGAAGTATGGGGGAGGGTGGGTGGTGACAGCAAGCAAGACCTGCTTGGTTTGCTGTGAGTAAATGAAATCATTTGTGCGCAACTCATTTTATTTTAGATTGATTAGTACAATGTTGGCTCTTGAATTGGTGATATCTTTTATACCCTGCTCCAGAGAAGCAAAGAGAATATCTGCAGTCTAAATTTTTGCTCTGTATTTTCTGTTGTGTATTCTTTGCCTCTATATCAGCATTAGGGATATGGCTGACCATTTCCTTAAGGCTATAAATCGATATTCTTAGGGTGGGGAAATATGGGTACATACATGTATATTTGTATATATATATGTGCATGGAACAAAACTACCTTATGAAATCAGGAAGAAATGTTCCCTTTGGTTTGTGTGCATGACTTTCCTTTTCCTTGACTTTGGCAAACTTGATGCTCCCTGCTTTAGAATCCTGAATGTGATAGGGTCAGAGGGTGATGATATAAGTCATATTATATGTGTACATATAGATCTGGTATAAAGATAAATGTATATTTATATATGTATATACACAGGCATGCAGGAAAAGGAGTTAGAGATGACTTGCTCTAGAAACCATAATGGGGAAAGTTCTTATAATTATACCAATGAGTTGAATGGTTCAAAGACCCACTGTTGCACTCAGTACACATCTCTCTGAATTGACCCTAGCCCAACACATAACCACTTACTCACAGACACAGAAATGAAGGGAAAGCAAGGGCAGGCTGTGAAATCACTTGTGTCTGTAGGTCAGGCTTGGTGCACATGACTGAGGTGGGAAGTGGGCTGGAAATACTGTCTTCTCAAATGCAATTTCACATGGAAGACCACAACACTTCCTGTGAAGTGGAGCTCCCAGACAAACCAAGGGCACCACAGCTACTTGGATCAGCCTTCACTGTGAGCTGGGAGTAAATGGGAGGGAGTGAGGAGGCAGGGGGAGGATCAGAAATAAGAAGAGGGTTGCACCAGAGCTCCTTCAACTTTGGTTTTACATAGTCTGTTTGCAGCTGAGTCGGTCACCTATTTAAACCTTCTTTGAAACAACACACCAGTCAATAATATAAAATCCATACAGTAACCAACTTTGCTGCCCTTCAAGAAATACACAGGGAAAACAACTGGAGTTTTTAAACGTAAAATTCACTTCCTCATTCTTTCACTCTAAGGAAGCAGCACAAGTTCTTGCCCCAGGACTAAGTCCTAACCTCGATGAATGTGATTCATTCCCGTTAGGTGGCAGGTCCCACTGAGCACCTCTATTGGATGGTGTTTCAATGTCTTGGCAGGCATTGTCACACATCTGAGGACCCCACTCTGCCAAGCTGGAGAGACTTGAAAGCCAGTCTCTGACCGGCAGCCATCTTGATTTCTTGTTTTCCCAGGGGGCCTCGGGTTTAAGGTGCTTTTTGCTTCTGGGTGAAGAGCAATGATGGGCACTTCCTGTTATTGCCATGATCTGTGGGGTAAGCTGAGGTTTTCTGGAAGGAATATTGAGCTTGATCTGGGGCTGTCAGGTTACCTTTCCTCTTACTCCGCTGTGAGTTCTGCATGCTGTCTTCCCACGTTAAGAGGTATGTGCTCACAACAAAATCATAGCAGCCTTCAATGACAGAATAGGTTGGAGATGGGAACACACGTGGTGAAGTTTCCCACATGCCATATGTACCAACTTAGACTTAGGATGGGTACAGAATAATGACCCATCCTTGATTCACTTTTTCAATTGATTTTAAGGAAAAGCATGACTTAGATAAATGAAAAGCACTCTTTTTTTTTTTTTTTTCTCTCTCGGTAATGGGTATAAGCAATCTACGCGGTTCTTCATTGATTTAGTTTGCCTATTTTTTTCCCCCTTGCTGGTTTTATTTTCTACTGACATAGATCTTAGAAATCATATAAGATGTCACATAGAACTTAGGGGCACTGAATGCATGAAATTAAAATATTCCATGTAACGAGCAAAATCAAGAAATCAAATTGTTGGAATGAATAGCTTCCTTACACAAATTTCAAGCTATCAAATACAGTGTACTCTAAAAACTAGAGAGAGTTCTAGATGGAGTCCTGATGGAAGAAGAGACATAGATGTTACAAGAACTTTAACCAAAGCCTGGTCCTGGTACAACTTGACCTGGCACTCAGAAACCTTCCTGGGGTGCACTGAGTGTGCAAATGCCTTTCCAAGCATCTCTACGCTGCCTCAACCCAAGCAGAGTTAATTTAGTGCTATTGGGAATAATGATTTCTGCAGACACTACAGCCCTTTATGACTACATTAGAAAACGTTTTAAAGAACTATGCCCTTACATCCCATTAGGTGGCAAGGCCCACTAAGCACCTCTACTGGATGGTTTCTTATCGCACATCTAAGCTCTCTTGGCAGCCCTTAGCATCAAAATATATCTAAATGACAATCACAGCTAAGTTTACCCACCTTCTTTTGATGATAATGGGACATGCGCTGGAAGAATACAGGTTCAGTTTATATAGTCTTGCTGTCCTAGAAAAAGCACTAATTTGCTTTGTAGTCATATATTCTACTTGCATGCTGCGACAATATAAGAACAAAACAAAAAACCCAACCCTGGTTGTTACTTCCTCGCTTCCCCAAACCAGTGTTCACCTGGTCTGGGTTTTTAATCTCTGTCTGTCCTAAGTACCCTGAGTTTCTCGGTCAGGGTACTCCGGTGGAGGTGGGCAGATATTCTCCCTGTTTTGCTTATGGGAATGTTTTGGAAGGCTCAGCTCAGGGCCCCTATGGACCTTCTCCACTAAGCCCTCCTCCCTGCAAACTATTTCCCTAAACCATCTACCTTACCAGGCAGGATCTCAGCAAGTCCAAGGTAGCTGAAGGTCACCACAATGCTACCTTTGTCTATTGGTTCCATTAGTTCACCTGTTGCACTTAAGAGGTAAAGCCCAGACTGCAGGTTGATGCCCCTCTTCAAATAAGTACTATAAATATACTAGAGCTATCCCTGAAAAGATGCATTTGTACTTATATATATATATATATCTCTGATTTTATATATATATATATAATTTTTCTTTGTGTCTATTTACAGGTATGTACTAATCTATAGGTATGGAAGGAGAGCTATAGTACAGGAACAGGCAGGATTTGTGTGTTCATGTGCGTATATTTATAATATGTATATTTATAGGTATATATATATAGAGCCTCTGTCCTTGTTTGCATCGAATGTACCTCCGACCAGCGAGGAGTACCTGTCAGTGGTGAATGGGGAGAAGCCTCATAATGATGGTTCTCTTGTCTCTTATGTGAAGTCATTTTGGTAGGCAAGGTGGAAGCAGCCTGTGAAGTGAATGGGCCCAGTGTGAATCCATCTCTCCTCAAATCCACCAAGGAGGGACACTTGGCACCCAGGGCTATGTGCCAGCTGCCTCTTCTCAAGAGGTCAAGGAGCCAAGAGCCGAGAGTGGGGAGGGACCATTCATGCTGTTGGTGCAAGATATGGCTTTTCCTGCTAGATAGAGACAGGGCATGTAAGAATTCTGTCTTCTAGGAGAACGCTCACCACCAGGAACACAAAGTAGAGGCCAAACATGATGAAGCCCAGGATTTTGTTCATTCGCCACTTGCAGAGGGCAATGGAGAGGATGACGAAGAGCAGCATGATGAAGAGAAGGACGATGGCACAGAATAGGCCATTGCTGCTGACAGCCACTGGCTGGAATCTGTGAAGGATGGTGTACAGGAGCCAGGGCAGTGGGAGCCTGTGCAGGAGCAAAGCAGGGCAGAGGGGAGTGGGAAGACAAGGAGTAGTCAGACACGTTGAAGAAGGCAAACAACCAAACATTACGCTCTCAGGAACTCTAATCTGAAAAGCATGTCTCATTAGGTTCACTATATCTCGGGTGTGGCGGGCCCAGACTTTAAAAGCCTTTGTCCATGTCCTGACTGAATTCAGAACAGAGGGAGCAGTCAGACATCAAAGAAATGACTGCTGTAGGTGATTTCTGCATTTGTGAATTTGATTGGAAATTGTTTTGTTTCCTTCCTAGTTGAGATTAAAATGTTGCTTTCAGTCCCAAAAAGGTGAATAGCAGGATTTGCACAGGGTGAAGGGAGCAGGCAGGTATAAAAAAGTCATAGAAATGGGTGGTGAAAATGGGAAAAAAATTAAAAAATGGAGACAAAGAATAGCAACGACTTAACAGTCTAAAGGCAAGTAAAATCAAATGACAGTGGTGGGGGTCTGAAGTTTATTCTGGGAAAGACGTTGTCAATGGTTTGATGAGAAATTGGTCTTTCTGAAAGATTTAAGGAAGACGGTGTCTTCCATTTTTTGATGTGTGTTTAAAAAAAACTTTATATTTTTATACCTGTTTTCTCCCTTTTCATTCAGCTTTTAAAATCTGAGGATATCCTATGTTTCCTATCCAGAGTGGTGATTCTGAAAGCCCTCAGGAAAGCTAGTTGCCAGGATACCACAAGAGTTGACTAGAACTCTGGGTAAGGAAGATGGCTGGAAGTGCAGGGCTCAGGGGACATGGACATTGTCAAGTGGCTAGTGATAGGCATCCGGCTCTGCTCACCAGCCTAATGATAGCATGGTGGCTAAGAGATCCTACTTGGCTGGCCGAGCCTTCTGCATGACAGAAATAGCTAAGTGAGGTTCAGTTTTGGCTTAGTCTCAGGGTGTGGAAGAGGAGGTGCTCTTTCGAAACATTACGTTCTCCAAAGGAAGAGAAATAATGAGAGTGAAAGGGGCAGTGAGTTTACTTATCTGCCTCCTCTGCTGGAGAGAGGGAATTGGAAGGTAGAGCCCATGAAGTGTAGATGTTTGAAATTCCAGGCCTGGCACATGCAGCCCCTCACTGGGTGCATATGTTAACCTGGGCCAAGCTGAAGTGATTGATGTGACTACCTTGCAGGGATCAGTACAAGCACTTTGCCCACTAGAAGCTGGCCAGGAGGTGCTTGCTTATGTGAACTTGTCGGGGAGGGGTTCCAAGCCAGGGAACAAGGGGGTAATTCCAGTTCTCAGCAAGAGAGGGCAGCCCTGGCATCCTGGGGTCGGCAGTGAAAAGTCAGAAAAGGGAAGGGGAGGGCCTGAGAGTGGGAATGATGCCAAAATGAGAGCCATTGACAGGAACTTGTACGGGAAACTCTTTTTCCATCTCTTGTAAAGAAAAGACCGAAACACATTTTATTCTTATTAAAATGCGCATGCACGCGTGCTCTCTCTCTCTCTCTCTCTCTCTCTCTCTCACTCTCACTCACTCTTCTAGTGAAGTTGAGTTTGATAGCACTACAAATGGCTTGCAAAAACCTTTTGGGGAAAATTACACTTTTTATGCCTTTTGGTCTCTATCAATTCAATTGTCAGGAATTAAGTATAAAACTCACTTAAAATGTAGGTGAAACTACTCAGAAAAATGATCATTTCAATGTTACTTTGAATAATAAAAAACTGGGTATCTCTAATAACCTCTAATATTAGGGAACTAGTTAAATAGCAAGTAAATGTAATATTGTATAGCTGTTTAAAATCACAAGCTTAGAATGACACAAGAAAATAACCATAATATAATTCTAAGCTAAAAATGAAAGATGCATACATATGCACAAAAAGCAATGTAATTTCAATCATGTGAAATACACAATTAAAAAAGTGTGGTGAGTTACTGTTTATTTTCTAAATCTGAGTATATGTTAATTTTAGAAGCATAAGGAAAATGCTGGCAAAGCTATGAAGAAACTTTTACACTTAATATATTGTTAATGACATCACTCTATTGTCAAAAATGTTACAAGCTAGTATAAATTCTTGGGAAATAACTTATTGGAAAAGAAATATACAAAATACATCATTAGACATTAAGATGTCCAAAATATTTAGTTCATTAATAATGCTAAAAGGAATTTATCCTAACAAAGTAATTAGGAGGTTTTTCTGCATCAAGGTGTTCATCAACATTCTCACAGCAAAAAATTAAAGAAAATCCTATTAAATGATAATTAAAAAAACCCGCTGAAAAACAAAACATCAAGAGGGAATATTTGAAGCTACAAAATGTTAGTTATTAGAGCTATAGTCTTAGAAAAATGGCTGATATGATTTACTAATTTATTCACAGATGCCTCTCTATGCCAGGCATATATTGCTTTAAAATGGAAAAATAAAAGCCTTCCAAGAAGACAAAACTGAATATTTTACTAAGAAAACTTTGTGAAATGTATGGAAGAGCACATACATATTGTTTCTGGGTAATAGGATTAGGAGTGATTTTTCTTTAAACTTCCATTTGTGTGTGTGTGTATACAATTTAAGAATAATGAACAAAAAGCATTTTGTAATTCTTTATAACACACTATAGAACATTACTATTTTTTTTTTTTTACAAGAGATTGTCCAAGAACACTACTATGAATATATGGACCACAGATTTGATAAACGCTGTTTACAGTAGGGACAACTTCCTTCAAAACATATACCTTTTAAGGCATTCATTCATTTATTCATCCATCCATCCCACAAACATTTGTCAAACAACTACCAAGCATAGCAATGTAGTAAGCCCTGATGAGTTTCTTGCTCTTGGGGATGCACAGTCTAGCAGGCAGATACACCACGACAAGAATAAGATATACAGAGAATCGATAGGGGCAAGAACCTCGAAGTCAGGCCCAGGAGAATCAGAGAAAACAGGATTTAAATTATCACGAAAGGATAAGTCAGGGGTTTTCAGTCAGACAAGCACGGAGAGCTCTGCAGTGAGGGCTCACGTGTGGTTCAGATAGTGGACACTCGTAGCAGAGTTTTATGCACAGAGTGCTGCCACTGATAATACAGACTCTGTTCAAACCTTAGCTACCTCATTTACTAGTTGTGTGAACTCTGGGCCCCTTCAGTGTTTTTAATCTGAATAATAGGGGTGATAATACATACCTAATAGAATTATTGTGTGGCTTAAATGGAGAAAAATGTATATACAGTGCACATGGTAGACAATGTATGAAAAATATTAAGGTCATGAAAAGGTGTAAGAACAATATTCAAGATATTTAATGAGAAAGTAGGTGCTTTTAGTGAGGTTCCAAACTCAAGTGTTAGGAGCCCAGTACTCCTGGGAACATAATGATAACATCTTATGTCTTATTTTCCCAGGGTACTGATGTTCAAGGTTATTTGTCAGACTACTTTTACTTTTGACAAGTTAAATAAAATGGTATTGATCACAGCACTTCTCCCCAATCTGATCCACTTTAGCCATTATTCATATTGAGAGGTCACGTTTGTTTCCCTGCAAGAACAAATCTTACCTTCTGGCTTTCAAAAGATCTAGAATATCGGCCGGGCACGGTGGCTTATGCCTGTAATCTTAGCACTTTGGGAGGCTAGGGCAGGTGGATCATCTGAGTTCAGGAGTTCAAGGCCAGCCTGGACAGCATGATGAAAC